TAATTGGCAGGTGGTACAAGTTTGTTTATTTATTTTTAATAGTTTAGTATTGTTCCTGCTATGTTCTAAATAAAATCTTGGAACAGACTTCAAACAATATCCCATGTATAGCATACTGAATTAATATTAGCTTTATGTAAAGAAGTAGTAGTATACACTGGCAAGAGAAAATAACTAATTTGTTGCTGACTCATTCAAATCTGTATTTTTTAATGCCCATTGACTAATAATAAAGGTAAAGCCAAAACTAACACCCAGTCAGACCTGTTTAAAATAAGAGGGTAGTACCAGATATATCCACACCTCAGTCTAGAAAGTTGCTCATCTGCTATGCATAGTACATACAAAGCAAATGAATAAGAGAAAAGAATATTTTCATATTTGCTAAGCAACATCAAAAAGTAAACACTGTATACTTCTTCTTGTTGAATTACATGAATTTGAGAGGTAAATATGTGTACATATAGTGAAGTGCCGATTTTTTAATGTTAAAAGTAACCAAATACTTTTGAGTAGAAGAAACAGCAGAAAGGAATGCAAAAGTATTTATTATGAGCCATTTCCTCTTCAGAATCCTGCTCCTAGTTGCAAGACATCAGGTTGGGGAGCATCTGTTCTGTGTATGTGTGTAAAGCAGTCAAGATAGTGGCTGTGACCCCATAGCTTGCAAGAGAAATAAAAAGTAGGCAGGACTTTGATCATGGGTTAACAGCTACCATTTTGACTTTTTTAATTCACTCTACACATATCCATGGATATTTCTGAAACATATGCACATCTTCAGGGGGAAAAGCAATTCTCTGAAAAATTAGTAGTAAAAAGAAAAGAAACGTATTTTTTCCTGTTATTCCTGCACCCCCAAAAAGAAGCTCTTCCAAATGTTTCAAATGCTATTTCTTTATTAGAAACATTTGATTGTAAATTTCACTGGGTAAGGGTCACAGAAGTTGGAGTAGAAAACAATAGACATCAGGAACCAGAGACAACAAGTAAGGCAAGCAAATATCTCCTCTCTTATTTAATGCCTAATATTGTCCAGTAAACATGTGAGAAGATAGGAAAGAAGCTGTGTGACTGAGGTTGAAGTTCAGAGCCTGTCAAAATCTGAGAGTAGGTAAATTCAGAAGTTTATTGGTGTCAAAAATTAGAGCAAGGTGTCAATTCCTACCAACCATATAGATAAATATTCTACAGATGGATCTGTCCCCAGCATTGTCCTTCAGGTCTTTTATGGTGCTTTTATGGTGCTCCCTTAACTACCTAATTGAGTTTATCTACTCCATCCACTTTGCTGTAGGTTATTATATTCTTTTTTCCTTGCATGTTTCCCAGCATTATTGAATTCTCTAGAGAGCTAAATCTTTGTATAATGTGTCTGAAGCATGATAATTGGACCCTGGTCATTTGGAGCCTATAATGTCACCCAGATGTTGTAACTTCATCGTTCAATGCAAATTTTGTAATTTGCCTTAATTACATAATTTACCTCATTTGTGCACATATCTCACATCCCCTTAAGTGCCTCCATCCTTAAGGTTAATGAGTACCAGTCACTTCCAATCTGCATATCTACATTTTGTGAACCAGACTATCATGCTAAGCAATAATATAATTGATTTGTTTGGACACAGAGTGTTATGTGAACATTGCAAAACTTGCAGGCTGCTCTGGATGTAGGCTTAGGCACAAAAGTATAGTCTATGAAAGTCAGAAAAAGTTTGAAACCTGCAATTAGGCTTTTTTCTCTGTTGCTGGCTTAGCACTATTTATCCTTGAGTTGGCAGAAAATGATATTGACATGTAATTCATTGTCCATATTGCTGATTCCTCTCTTCCTGATCAACCACGGTCATCTCATTTTCTCTCACATAATAATTGACAAAGACAACAGATGTATAACATCTTGGGGCTTCTCTTGGATGATGAATAAAGAGAAAAACATTGCTTTAGGTAGAGCAAAGGATGATTTAAGTCTATAATTGACCAGGAATGGAAAAAAGGACCAATATCATGTAGTCATAGTAGAAAAATTGATATTGCCAGAGCAGGTTTTTAGTGTAGTTATGTACAAACCAGGAAAGGTTGTTGATTAAATTAATTGTGTATGTGAACCAAGTCATTTCCTTTAACTTAATGTACATCTTACTAGGTCTGTATCACTACCTTCCACAAGATTTTCTTTATATATAGTCTTATTCCTAGAATACTAATATTCTGATAGTTACATCAGTCAGCAATGATGTTACATCTATCATGTCTCTAATCCTTAAGCTGATAGTAAAGTGTGGTTGCAGACTTTGCACTACCTTCAAATCTGAGTCCTGTTTTGCTTCAGTAATAAGGCAAGGGGAGGAGTGCGGTCCTTATAGGTTTAATGCAGAAAAAGTTAAAGAAAGCAACTGGTGGATTCTCCTACCCCTGTTTAGTTTTCCATCACATCTCATCAGCTGTTGGAGGTGGGGGGCAGACATCCATCAATCATTTTCTTTGCATCTGGACAGGAGGTGAACTTTGACAGGTGTTTAGACTTGTTAAGGCTTGCTCTGGTTTTACTTCAGTGTTTTTGTACAGGGGTGCAGCCAATAATGTGGCTCCTTTTAGACAAGGATTAAACTGATTTATGTATACCCCTATTTTGGAATAGCCCTAAATCATTCTCCAAAAGGATAAGCCTGAACTTTATAGAGTGAGAGGTGACAGTTATGAGGGTAACCCTCCCCCCCACCACTTTGCTATTTTCCCTTGTCAACTGCTTTACCAGGGTGCCCAACCCATCCTGCAGATCTGGGGTTGTAGCTATAGTGGGAAGGTGCTTTCCCACTTCAGGAAGAGAAACTGCATTACTTGTGTCTAAAGCAGTCTGATGGGTACAATGGAAACCATGTAATTAAGCAGGATCTCCCACTTCACGGTAACCCAACAGTTCTAGTCAGCTGCTTCTCAAGCTAGTTCATAGGTCCCAGCTGCACGCAGCAACTCTTTCATCACCAGATTGCCATGCCATCAGACGTCCATGGACGGAAAATATCAGTTCCCCTTCTCTCCTCTTTCCCGCTCTACATGCTATCCTATCTGGACTCCTAGGAGGAGTGAGGAGAGATAGCTCCTGCTGCCAAAATCAAAATAGTCCTGAATAAAAACTGCCCAGGGAATGGACAGCAGCAGGCATGGAGTATATTCAACGGCATAAAATAGCCAATGAAGGTAGACAAATCTGATTGTATCATTGACCACATTATAAATGAAGGGATCAAAAGGATCAACCTCTATCATGTGCAGGAAAAAATAAACCAACCACAAAAGAAAGCTGACCGGCCTTTTCTTTAAAACCAACAATCTTCACAGGTACATTTTTCTGCTACTGCAAATTTCTTAGTAAGTTTTTCTTTATATTTAAATGAAATCTAGATGGATTCAGTTTATAGTTATTTTAATAATTATTTCTGACATTATTTTATGTGGCCATTGAAAGCACTTTTTGATCATTTTCACTGAAGTTTCCTTTTATGGACCTGAACATGGCTATCTTGCCTTTCCTTATCTTTTTTGTCTCTACACTGAACATTCCAAGTTCCTTTAGTAAATCCTCCAAGGCCAAATTCACCCATGCCACAAGGCTTATATCAGGAAAAGAAGAACACTACCTTAACATCCAAAGAATTATGATAAGCATAATCACCTCCATGTTTAGTAGTGTGTGAGATGAAGGACAGATATGTCCTTTGAGAATAGTTACTGACACATCTTTGTGGCAAGATTAATAGGATCAGTTATAGAGACCTGTCACAAAAGAGAAGTCAGATAGCTGTGCCAGTCTGATTTGAAAAGGGAAATCTGCCTATGAAATCTTTCTTGAAAAAAAAGTTATTTTTTTTACTCTATAAATACATGCACCCTTAACATTAATGGTATCAGAATATCTCTGTTTCATCTCTGCTTGTTTCCAAATGTAAAAGTATTGGTTCAAGTTGTTCATAGGCTTATCTATCTAATAGTAATCGTTTTCTAGCAAAACTAAATACACTGAAGATAATACAACTCAAAATCACTTGATTATCTTCATAAAATTGTTACAAAGAAGAGTCGGGGGGGGGGGAACCTTTTGTTTTTTTCTTGCCACAGCTTTCATCATTTATCTGATACATTTTGAAAACGAGATTATCAAGTAGTGATGTATCTAATAATGATCCCTTCAACATTCCTATGAACCATATGTTCTGCAATAATTTTCATGGTATTTGCAAAAAGGATGCTAGTCCAGTCATGCAACCTGGTAGCTATAATAATTGATGCTCAAAATAGTTCTTCAAACATTCCTGTTTGAAAAATCTTGTTGTAATCCAAAGGGGTTGCAACATCTACTAAAGTCATATCCAAAGATCTTTCTAATACTTTAAGGAGAAGCCAATCTGAGACATTAATTGCATGAATGCAGAGAGTAAGCATGATATTGCAATAGTACCTCCTGAGCAGAATCAAAACCCCAGGAAGTGGGCTGAAGATTGTAACATTTGTGTCCCCTTTAGTCTTGATGAAAAGTGTCTCTCACTTCAACTACTGTTGTAAAAAGAAAGAATTTTCCAACTTTCCTTATTAATGATATCCCTGGCCTGGTTCTAAATCAATATATTTCCATGCTGTATGCAAAAAAAATCTTTCCATTTCAAATTGCAATTTTCAGCATGTATATAATATGAGACCTGAAGCTCTTTTCAGTTTCCATAATATCAACTTATATTTTATGTTGATTGTGATTATTCCCTTCATCCACATAAAACCAGTATATACATTCTCACTTATAAACATGTGTTTGATATATGAAAGCTTTGGAATTTTCTTACTTCCCCCTTCTCCTCCAATAAAACCCCAATCTTATTTTCAAAGCAGCTATATTAAACTGAAACAAATAAATTTGTCCTCTATCTTCCCTTACAAGAACAATAAGATTGTTAGATGGATGGGTATCATCCAACATCATGTAATGTGTAGCAAATACTCACCAGAGGCAAGAAAGTGAGCAGAGGGCGCACTCTTGGACGTGGTTTAAGTGTGGCTGTTCCAGAATCTGTCATTGACCCAAAGCGATTGCCGCCATAATAAATACCATCCACTTCACCTAAAACAAAATAGTGGAGATAATAAATAAGCAAAGGAATGAAGGCCAAATGTTGTTTTTGAGATGAGTTATAAACTTCCTAATTATTCTACTCAAACCAATCCTACCATCTAAATAGTTTGTAGTAATATTTATCCATGAGACATATCAGATTCCTTTGACAGAGGGGCTTAACTAACGGGCATTAAAAACAGAAGCACATAAAAGGTCACCATGGTTTCACAAACACTTGGAAGCCACTTCAAATTACTTTATGCATAGAATCTAAAAATCATTAGAATCCTTCTAAAGATGCAACCTAAACTTGCCATAAAATACAACTTCAGCATGTACTCAGAAGCTTCTCCATGATTATATTAATACGATACAAGATGAACCAGCAAATATGTAAATTCTTTCATTCGCAGCCTTGCATCCTTACAACCATTGTAGAACTTGTGTGGGAATTAAAAACTGAGTTGGTTAACGATGAGCTCAATTTCTGATCCAAAGAAAAGACTGCAAAGACTTCCTCTTGGGCTATGATGTGGAACTATTTCCATTGCCAAAAGCACCCTATTGCCATGTGCCTGGTCACCATAACACCAACTTTTGTTCTGCATAAGCAACTGGGCAGGGAGTCTTTCTGCTCCCAGAACTTATTGATGGTGTTTCCGCTTGCTATTACTAGAAGAAAAGTAGGAGGGAAACAAATAGAAGAGTGTGGACTGATTGAAGTATTCATTTTTGTGCTTCCTTTTGGCAACCAATTTCCCTTGCTAATGGGCAGGGGGCAGGGAGTGTCAGCAATTACAATTAACTTTACAGTTTACTTTACTTTACAACAGGTGAGTAGGGGAGGGAGAAAAGGGATGCACAAATAGCCAATGTAGCACAAGGGCATAGTAACTGGGATAAAGTTCACTGGGGGAGTAAACTTACTCAAACAGTTTGCAACTTTACCTGCCTACATCCTCATTGACTTTCACCCTATGCGCTTCCCATAAGCAAAGACTTTGCTATCAGGAAGCTATCAGGAAACATTGGAAATGAAGATCACATGACTGTGGCTGACCAAGGCAGTGTGGCAGCAGAACTGAAGCAGCAGTAGCACAGCAGTGCTGAAGAGGCTGCAACTTCCCCAAGTTTTACTCCCATGGGTGTCATAGGTCCAGGATTTAAGACACATTTTGTAAATTAGTTCATTGGTTTAAAAACCGTTGCTCTTTGAGGCATCATTCCAACCAAGCAATATGAGAGTTTTAGAAGTATATAGATATTCTAATGGACACTTACTCTTGGAACTATTATTCACAATAGCACAATTTTTATATTTGTGGATGAACAGTTTCTATAACTCCTACATGTCATACTTCTGTCTTATTCTGATATTCAGCCCTTGCTTAAAGATCAAACCATATTATTTACAAACTAAATCTTGTGAAAGAAAATAAAATCAATGTTGGTTACTTCCTTATAAGCACCGATAAAAATTTGTGAGTTAAAAGAGATGCAAATCAATATATCCCTATCAAGATAACACACCCTTATTTACAATTCTACCTAGCTAGCTGGCTGGCTGGGAAAGTGGGTGTTTGAAGTTGCATCCCAGTCAGAAGTATCAGACACTGCATTACAATTTCAAAGTAACCCATGTTTCTGAAAAACCATTGTAGCCCTGTTGATGTATGAAAAAAAAATCCAAAAGTTAATTTGGGTAATATTTCCAATACAATTAACAAAAATAGCAAGAACGTATGCAAATTTGAATTTTTCACAGTGTCCCAGCAGGAAAGATGATATAAAAACAGAAGAAGCAAGAAAGTTGGAAAAAATGAGAACAGACATTTTAAGATATAAGACTTTCAGTTTAATGCCATTTGCAGTATGGAGTACAGAGTGGGAACAGAAAAAAGAATGAAATCAAGAAAGCTTTTTCAAGTGTGGTGAAAACATGTTTTCCTATTCTTATCAGCCTTCTATCTAAAGTGGAGTAGTTAATCCTACTGATAACTCAGCCTCTTTTTACCCATGATCTTATCTGACAGGTTTTGTTAGACCAACCAATCAAACTGTGGCGTCAAAGAACAAGCAACAGCCTGCTCTACACAACCTGCTATTCCCAAAACCCAAGCTTCAACATTTCCTTTACGTCCTTCCATTGACAGGGACTCTATTCTCATACCCAAGTGCTTTAGTTGCTTTTATCACCTCAACAGATCTTGGTCATTTAATTATGCTCAGAAGACTGAAGGACAAAACATCCTTAGTGTTTTTCAGTGTTGCAAATTTACAACTTGCATCCACCATAGTGCTTTTTGTCTGGTGTCTTTGAAGAAAACATCAAGCAGGATCATAGATATGCATTCAAAGGATGAGACTTCATTCAAAGAGACCTGCTCTTTATCTTGATGTTTCATTTTTTACTAAGTAAGACATTGGGGAATAATAAAAATTAGAAGGCAATATTTCATAATCACAACAACAATACGTGTAAATTCCTGGAAATGCTCACCCTGGTTCATTCGCTGGATAAAATAAATGCATTATCCCAATAATAATATACCATGAAGATCAGTTTCAAGATGAACTGGGCACATAGATGAAATATTTCCTATTTCTCGGGAATAAGAAGCAACTTGCTGGGAAGCACCCAGCCTGGCAGAGAGGAGGGATCAAGCATGGAGTTAGCCTGGAATCCCTGCACACCACCAAAAGGTTAGAACCGACCTATCTCCTTTAGGTTCCATCAATCTCCTACACTGAGGACATTCTTGTATTATAGGCAGAACTTAATAAAATATTTAGCTTGATTTCTGCATGTATGCGTCTGGTAATTCATGCCTGACACAACTTGGCAACCTATGACCCCTTGGATCATTATTTCAGACATTTCCTGACCAGATTTCTCAATGCCTTCAATAATGGCAGAGCTTCTAAAGGACTTGAAAGGTTCTTAAAACATGCAGGGAGATATTCAGAGATGTATCCGTCTTGAAAGTATGTTGAACTGTATAGCACAATCAAATATCAGGAGTTAACCAGAGGAAAGGTTTTATGACACTTGTATTATGTCACAAAATGCTTATCTAGGCTCTAGAAAGACCATGTGTTTTCTGATGGTCTTAGGCGACCCCTATGAAAGGGTTGTTCAACCCCCAAAGGGGTCGCGACCCACAGGTTGAGAAACGCTGCTTTATTGTATTTTTATGTCATAATATGCTTTACAAAATTTGCCAAATTTCAATTACCCAGGAGTTATGGATCCCAGATTTTGCATGCATTATGTAAGTTAGTTCATTTAGGTACCTTAATTGAAAAGGTTTTGCCCTATGATGCACTATTTTGCCCAGTTAAAGGTCACATACACAAAACCTTTAGCAGTATAGCAAGCAACTCAGAGGATGCGGATCAGAGGCAGTCATATTTTAGTACCAGGACTGAGAGTTTTTACAATCATAAAAATATAACAGCATATCAAAGAATAGACTTGTCTTTAATATTCTGCCAAAACATTTAGCCCTTAGTTCCTTAGTTTTCACCTTAAAGGGTCTCCTCCTGAAATGGTACCTTTAAAAAAAAATAATTAGATCTATTTTTGCACTGTAGTATCTCATCTTAAGTTGTCAACTGGAGTTCAAAATTGGCTTGACAGAAATTTGACAGAAGAGATACAGATTTAAATCTGTTAAATTACTCAAGGAACTTTAACTAAATCTACAAGTAGACTTTAGGACTTTATTTACAAGAAAATCTATGAAGATTTATAGTCTTAATGTATGTGATTTAAGCATTTAATAGATTGATTAAATCAATTACATGTTTCTATATTTGCAAATGAGTAAACCAAACCTATTTCTGAATATGTATGTCTGTGTACTTAAATATATGTATTTTTTTTCAAACGATCCTAGCACATAAATAGTAGTAGGTACTACTTTAGAAGACAAATTCATTTGTCTGCAAAACCAACGAGGAAATGAAAAATTTAAAGTTAGGTTTGTCACCTACCATTTTATAAGAAGTTCTATTTATGCATTTTGAAAATTGGGATACCTTACTTATTTGACTACAATTTTACATGTGCATAATTAGGACTTTCATTAAAATAAATAATACTTTCAAATTAATATGTAATAGATTGCATAGTTTATAATGAGTTAATATAATCTGTTTATTCCAATAGTCCCCTAAAAAGACATTGAAAACATATACATGTTTAATCAGAAATATAAATGATCTTTTATCATTTAAATTAAATTATAAATTAAATGTTGATTTAAATCAAACTTTTACAACCTGATTCTTCTGACGATGAAGTGGATTAGAATTATGGCTTTTAGAATGCCATGCTAGCATAGTATTTGATCATATTGGGTTGGTATTCTAGATTAGAGTTTCTAAACTTCAGCAATTTTAAAACGGCGACTTCTACTTCCCAAAATTCTCTAGCCAGCATCTTAAACTAGATTGTGGAAATTTGGTATATCTGGATGGCAGCTGATTGGTCCAGTTTGTTTAACTTATCAAACATCAGCAACCTAAATTTTAGCATCTCTCCCTTTCTTTTACAATTAATTATATATCCAAACTAATAGTGCTAATTGGATAATATAAATAACTTGACGTTTTGAAGAAGCCACTCTTATTCATTATCTTTCTGCATACCTCTTAGAACAATATTTGGCAAATATAAAAGAATTTAAATCTGACCTCGAAAGGTATAAGCAAGCCATTAAAAAGGGTCTTGGAAAGACCAGAGACAGAAGGAAGTATGAAATTCAAAATAACCCCGCCTTACTCTTGTTTAGTATAAGATGAAACAGAAAGAAACCTGGACAAGATTTTCTTATTTATAAACTGCAACAATAAAATAACATTCCTGGAAACACTGTGGTGTCTGTGTTTTGACCCAGCCCACTTTGAAGACATGACAGGAATCTAAGATTTGTAGAAATCTCTATCACCTGATAAATATTCAAAAAAACTGCCCTTGGGAAGGCATCCCAAAATAGCTCAGC